GGCTGCGCCGGCCCTGCCGCGGGCGGTCGCGGGGCTGCGGCGGCGACAGCGGCGGCAACGGCGGCTCGTCCTGCTCGTGCTCCGGGTCGCGCGCGTGCGGGTCCCGCGGGCGCAGCTGCTCCTCGCCCAGGAGGTCGCGGTAGCGGCGGCGCAGCACGATGTCCTTGGAGGCGCCGGGCGTGGCGGCCGCGCGCACCGTGGCCACGGAGTTGACGAGGCGCTTGAAGCGGTCTCGGCGCTGCCGCCGCTGCGCGTCGCTGAGCGCCGGGTCGCGGAGGAAGCGCTCGAAGTGGCGGAGCAGCGCGGAGTTGGGGGCGCTGCCCCCGGCCCCCCACAGGAAGTCGAGCACCGCCTCCTGGCTGAGCTCCCGCGCCATCCCGGGGCGCTGCGCGGGGCGCGCTGCGGAGGGAGCGCCCTGCGCGGGGCCCGGCGGCCGAGCGCGCCGCCTCCCGCCGCCCTCCTTCCGCACGGAGGCGGCGCCGCCGCTGCCGTGCTGCGCCTGGAAACACCCTACCTGGCTCCCTGTCCCGTGCCTACCTGGCTCCCTGTCCCCTGCCTACCCGACAAGTGGCGCGAGGCCGCCTCGCTGCTGGAGCACTTTGCCCTGGGAGGGGGCGGAGGAGCCGCCCCAAAGGCGGCCGGTCGCGGCACGGAGGCACCTGCCCCGGCTGCTGCCGCAGCCTCTGGGTTTCTGTCACTGGGAAAGTGGCAGTGGAACGGAGTGCGCGGTGTTCAGGCTGGAAAGGCAGCTGTCATTGCACCTGGCGGGGGCAGTTGTGTATGACACGCTCACGTTCCAGAGGTTGTCTCAACTGCAGGCCCCTGGGTATCCCCACATACTGATAGCTGCCCATCACCTAAGCAGCCGGAATGGTTTTGGCACCACAAACATGCAAACCTCTGCCACCCAGCAGAGCAGAGGCAGAGCCCACACTAGGTCGCAGGTACTGCCTGGCTTGCCTCTGGTGTTTCGGTAATGCAGAGCCATAACACAGCCACTAAACTATAGTAAGAGTGGACGTGTGCTGCAGTACAGGTCTCAAGAAAGCAGACTGCACACATCTGTACTTCCAGGACATTATCCTGCCATCAAGGCACTACATCACCCTGCAGAGTTGCAGGACAGCTACACTGTAACCTACAGAGTCGTGGGAGCAGCCCCCACTAGAAACTGTTAAGTTTCCAGCCTAGAAGTTACAGTTCAGGCAAAGCGTCCGAGTAGCCTCCCTGCCTGCCAAGATGTGACTTCCTGAGGAGGCAGCAAAAGTGTCTGTGTTTTCAGGCTGTACCACATCTGGCCTGGGTTTTGCTTTGCCATGTGATCCAGAAAGTGGAGCTGTGCTCCTCAGAGCAGGGAGAAGGGGAAAGCTCTTGTGATACCCAAAAAGTTAATTTTTTTTTATCAAAAAGAAAAACTGGTTTGTCCAGCAGCTTTTTGGCCCAGCAAATTGTCCAGCAAATTCTTCAAGACATAAATACTTTTCTCCCTCTTCTTCCACTGAGCCCTGAATTGCAGCCACAACCCTGTGTTTGATATCAGCACACTGTCAGCAGAAGCGGAGGAGGTTGAGTAAGTGGAGCATAATGATACAATTGGGATCACAAAGAAGAGAGGAGGGCAGATGGTAAAGATCAAAAAAAATCCAAATAAATAAGTGTGCCAAATGACAACTTCAGAATGAAGGTGTTTCAGTTTAACGGACTTTGGTGTAATTGAGATGCATGTTAGACCTTGCTTTCTGTAAGTCAAGCATTGCTATAAAATAGAGATTATTTTTCTCTGAGAAATGTCAGCATTTGCCTGGCACACATTTTTTTTTCCTACAGTCAGTGAAACACTCTCAACTAACATAAAAGCAACTGCTCAAGTATCAGCAGGACTGAGGCTGAAACCATGTGGGGACCTCTGCGTTGCTGTGGTTGGAATAGCCTCACTGAGCTGGTTTGAGTGAAATGTGCCAAGGTAGCGCATCGTGCCCAGCAGTCACAGCCGCCGGCCAGCCTGTCCCTCGCTGCAGAGCTCAGATGATGGGTGATAATTTAGCACCGTGTTGCAGCTCCCTTGGTTATGATTTTCTATCACTACTCCACCTTGGCACATGCAGAAATCTTCTGGAGGAGCAGCTCGCCTCGATCCCGGGCTCGCCATACACCTTGGCTCAGCGCTGCGGCTGTGGATCACGTCTCAGGCTTCAACGAGTTTAACCCCACATGCAGCCAGGGAGAAGCGCTGCTATGTTACCTGCAATCACTTCATTTGTCTGCTTCTGTCTAAGAGGTTTAAAGAAACTCTTGCCCTCCCCTTAGCCTTTAATGGTTTTCCTCTCTGTAATTGTATTTGGTCAGGGTCTTGAAAAATGACCAGATTCATCCTAGTCTAACCTTTCTGGGGATTTCTGAACACAAGTCTCTTGACACCCCCTAGTAAAACTTGAGTCCATTGCCAGAAGTGCTAGTCGCAAAATGAGGAAAGGCTCAAGCCATACTTTAAAAATATAATATAAGAAAAGAAAAAGCAGTTTATTGTCTACTCTTGTAGTTCTTAATGTTGCACAGGAAGATGATTTCATTAGGGGCTATATAGCGATGTTTTAACACAGGTGTTTTTAAACAGGAGAAAAGTTAACTTCTTTTCAGTGCCTATTGGTGGTTTTTTTCATCCCATGTGATCTGACAAATTGCCCACAGCTGACCTGAATTATTATTTCAATACCTGTAGTGCATTGATGGCTCTAAAGGAGCTTCAGAGAGCAGCATACAGGTTCTAGGGGTCTCTAGAATAAAGGACCGGTGCTATCCTTCACTATGGGTTAATTGGCGGCGCTTTTGAAAGATTTGTAAGTGAGGGTCTGCTTCTTCCCATTGAGCATTAGGGAGGCTAGGAACTACAGTAGCTGAGATGTTCAGGATTGCAGAGCCTTGTCTTGATGGATATTCTTTCCTTCTCTTTCAGCATGAACAGTCCTATGCAGGAAGCTCTGTACACCGAAACCATGGGAGTGAAACCTCAGCTGCTGCTCTCCCTGCTTGGGGCTAAGGAAGGACATGGTGAGTCACCCAAAGGTTTTGCACACTCAAAAGATCTTTATGTTTGTTCAGTTATGCTGATGCAGAAGTATTATGTGAGCCTCCAGTTCAGGCGATGGGAAGTTGTACTTGCCTTGCCTGCACGTACAGAGAGGGAAGCTCTTTTGGAGATGATCATCAGGGTTTCCACTAGAGGCTGCACCGGTCCGAGCAGGCTTCCCCACGCGAGCACAGTCAGCACCTCTCACCTGGAGCTGTGCGTGTGGGAGGAACGCGCTCCAAGATGTGGGACATGGGTCTAATACAGCAGCCTCCTGAGGGTATTAGCTGGAGGAAGAACTTACAATGGGAATAATGAAAATATGCTTGCAAATCCTATTTTACTGGGAGACACTTTTTGAGCTTTTCTGGTACCACAGCTTTGCTGCTGAGGGCTGCCCCCTACCCCTTGGTTGTGAGCTGGCCTTGAGTAGCCCTTCCTGGCTGTACCTATGGCCATTCAAGGGCTCCTGGCCCAGGTGTGAATCCTGTGCCCTGTGCTAGGGAGAGTGCCAGGATGCTGCACTGGAGACCCTGCTCAGCATGGGTCTCCATCTTGGCCAGAGCCAGTTCCTGTGGTGAGATCTGGGCAACTGGGGACTATGGGTGATGAACAGTAGCGCCCTGGCACTGTGGAAGGAGAAAAACTGCTACAGAATGGAAGAGGCTGGGGCTTCGTAGCAGGATGGAAGTGGCTTTTGGAGCAAAATGGTAAAACCTTTAGGGTAAAGGATGTGAGCTGGTTAGTTGATACCAACAATTGATCCACTTAGTGGCATGGACTTTACCTTTGCCTTTGGTCATCTTGCCTTGAAATGGGCTGCTTGTGTGAGTGGTAGCTCATCCACCAGGATAAATCAGCCCATTGTCTGTCTATCTGCATAGAGGAACGGGCACTTTGTCAGTCCTTAGGGTTTTGTGCCGTATAAATTGTTCTGTGACCTGCTCCAGCAGAGCCCTTCCTTCAGGACTGGCTCAACTTCAGACTGGAGCAGACACAGTTTTCCCCCCGCCCCCCCACCCCCCCAAAAACGTGTTGCAGAGGTGCCAGCAGTGAAGGACAAGGGGGCTGGGCTGAGGGCAGAGGAACTATTTGGGCAGTTGAACCAGCAAGGGCAGAGCGATGCTTCCCTGAGTGCTGGGCGAGTGGGGGCCGGCGGGGCAAGCCCTGTTACCGGCTCCATCCCGGGTACAAGTGGAGGATGCTTGCGGCAGGCCAGGGGAGGAAGGGGAGCCCTCGCCCTGTCCCCCTCGGAGTCCCGGCAGCACCGGGAGGATGTTGCCGGCCGGGCCCCAATGGGCAGCTGCGAGGTCGCCCCGAAGGGCCGAGCCCCAACTCGAGGGGGAGGCCGAGGGTGCTCGGGGAGGTGGTAGCCGCGGGCGGCCGGGGCCGGGCCCGCCTTCCGCGGTGGCCCGGGGGGGTCCCGCCTCGGCGCCCGGCCCCCTCGCACTGCGCATGGGCCCTCCCCGCCGAGTGGCCATGTTGCAGCGCTAGCAGCGGCGCAGAGGCGGTGGGCAGCGCTGCGCTCCGCTCAGCTCCGCTCCGCGATGGCCGTGGCCGTGGGGAGACCGGCGGTGGGTGCAGCGCGGCGCCCGGGCGGGACGGGCCGGGCCGGGCCGGAGCGGCTGGCCGGGTCGCCGCCGCGCGCGGCGCCCCCTTCCCGCGCACGGGTTGGGGGGCCAGGGGTTGCTCGGGGGAAGCGGTCGGCGGGAGGGGGGCCGGGGCTTCTTCGCCGCTTGCCCGGCGGGAAAGACAATGGATCCCCTGCAGCGGCAAGAACACTAGGAATGAGAAGAGTAGAGCCGCAGCCCGGCAGCTGCACTCGCCCCGAGCGCGCTCAGATCTGCGGAGAGTGGCGCCCTGAGCGCTTCGGTGTCCGCCCGGCGCGCGGGAAAGCGGCTGCCCGGCCGTTTTGCCTGCGCCTGGCAGTGAAGCAGGGCTGCGGGCTGGAGGGGCTCCCGCTCCTGGCATCACGGAGTCTGTGTCTCCAAGGTGGGGTCTGTGTCAGGCAGTCGTGCTGAGCGTTTACCTTGTGCTTAGGGATCGCCTGGTCTGCAGGGCTCCTCTCATGCGGCTGGCAAATGTTTTAAGCCTCTTCTAAGGGTGCTGCCGTAGGTGAGGAAGTTAAACGCTGCTGAGCAGTTGTTTGCTAGCAGAATGCCTATAAGTTATACCAGTTTATGGAGCTTGTTCTGAAGTGATTCCTTGATCTTAAGGTCTAAAGTGTATGTGGAAACTGAAGTTTGTGTTTGAGTGTGTAAGGAGGCATGGAAACAACAGCTTCAGCTGGATTTTAGGGCAGACTGAAAGGTATTGCCAAGCGGAGCTGCTTTTGCTTTGTGTAGAGTGGCAGCCCACGCCGTGAGTAGTCTCAGGAGTGGTGTTTGCGTGTAAAATGCGATTGCTGTTTCCATGTGTTTGTATGTTTTGATTTGCCTTTTCTACATGGTAGTAAACTGCTGCCACAGCGTGGTCTCCAGCACCTTTCGTTAACTGATGTCCACTCGTGGTAGTCCCGAAATGGCACGCAGAGAGGATTCTGTGCTTGTTAATCTAAGCGTGGGCTCGTGTGCAGCTGGGTTTGGTCCAGTGGGACTCCTTGTGGAATGAGATGTCCTCAGCATGAGAAGCACGTGGGAATGGGAAGGGCAAGGAGACTTGGCCTCTTTGCGAGATGCTCCCAGGCAGTCCCTGCTTCCTTAGGGATCACCACTTTTTGAAGGAGCGAGTTGCTTCATCATGGAGAAGGCTGCAGGCTGATGTTTGATAGGTGTTGGGAGTCTTCTGTGCCTTCTTAACAAGCCCCTTCTTTTGGGGAGGATGCTTGAAGATGCAGTTAATTACCTGAAGGGCAAGACAAGGCTGATGAAGTTAGGAGCTCCCAAGACAAATGTTTATCAGAGCTTTGAATAAGGGTGCTCAGTGGTGTGTGTGTGTGTAGGGCTGGAGAGGCAGAGAAGTGAGGAAAGGAGAAGGGAATGAAAATCAAAGCAAGTCAGTTGGTTTTCTTAAAACCAAGATAACATTCCTGAGTCACAATTTTTTACATCCTGGCAGGATATGACATTATGCTAATTGTAAAAGCATGCATGAGAAATAACTGCAGCGAGCTGCTCTGAAGTCTGTGTTTAATTCTAATGGAGCAGGGTGTGTTTGGGGAGGAGGGGCAGCTTTTGTTTTAAGGTCCTGATCCCACAGATGGAAAAGCATATGTGTAATGTGCTGCCTGTAATTTCCCTTGACTTAATGGCATGCAAAGGGCCTGGCATGCAGGAGCAAAGCTGCTGCAGAGGCCATGCCAGGAGCTGCCAGGGGACTTCTCAGGCCTATGCTTAAATGTATATCTGGGTGGATGGATACACCTGGTCATCTGCGCTGACCCCATCTGAGCTCCATCTGAGATAAGCCCCTTGCAGCCTGCAAGAAGTCGAGATGTGCTGGATAAGGGACCCTCTCCTTCCTCCTGGGCCAAAGCACCAGGTTGTTTCTCAGTAGTTCAGAGCATGGGAGGGGGCTCTGGGCTCCCTGACCGCTTCTTGCTTAGTATATCCAAAGTGTTTTCAGGATTGTGACCTCCTTTAGTTAAAGGAGCAAAAAGGCCACTCGCATGCAAATGCGTGTGCGGTGCTCAGGCTAAAAACAAGTGGATGGAAAATCAAGTTGGAGTGCAGATTTTACATGTGGGCTGGGGAAGATTTTATCTGAGAGGCTAAAACAGTACAGGGTATGCTTTAATGAGTTTTAAAAATATTTCATAATGAGAGATTGCCAGTTTCCATGGAAGGGAGGGAATGGGAGAGAAAAGAAGGTAGAGCAGGGCTAATGGAACTGAAGAGTTGGTGGCTTTTTTTGTCTTTTCCCAAGCAACAGATCTAGCAACACGCCTTTGCCTACCTGGGGGCTTCTGGGCTGTTCATCTTGTAAGCCAAGTGCTTGGATGCCCTCAGTCACAGAGGGCAGGCCAGGACAGGGCAGAAACATTGCACATGGAGAGCTGTGTTTGAGAGAGGTTTTGGGGGCTGACACGAATGGGGACAGGCCCTGGGACACTGAGCAGATGCTACTGGTCCCAAGGCCACAAAAGCAGAGCTGTGCTTTGCTGTGGCCTGCTCCTGCTTTTCAGCTAACCCCAGCACTGAGCTGTCGCTGTAGTGGGGTACCCTCCGTACAGATGTGAATCTACTGATGGTGTAGACTAGGGTGGCACAAACCAGGGTGGTGGAAATGGCCAGTGGCACTGCTTGGGACTTCCTTACTGTGAAGTGTGGCTTCTAGGGCCTGGCTCAGCTGCCTGTGCCAGGGAAGCCGGCTGGGGCGCTGTGCACGTGACCACAGTTGAGTCTGTGAACTCAGTGTTTCCTTTCTTCACCTCGGTGCCTTGTGTGTGGTAGGAAACTCCTTCAGACAATTCTTGTTGCTCCTGTTGATGCTAACAATAGTGGGAACCTGCCTCTTCCTCCCTGCCTTGTTTTTGGTGCTGTCTCAGACTCGTGGGCAGGGTTTGTATCCAGCCCACGACAAGCACATGGCCTTAGGCTTTTCCAAGATAGGATGAGCCGAGGGAGATCATGGGAGAAACCTCCTTTGGTGCTGATGAGATCAGAGGGTGCTGACTTCAGTGCCTGGGTAGGGCTCCTGAACCAGTGATGGGATTGACAGAACAGCATCAGTTCAGGAAATGAGTACTCAGAGCTGAGGCATGTTTTATACATCCCCTTCCCACCCTTGTAACCTCTGGGACAGATGCCCTTGCTGACTGGTTACCTGTCTTAGCTAGAGTGATTGATGATTGTTTATTCTGTGCCCTTGTCATGCCTTCTCTTCCTCCTTTTCTTCTCTCATGGTGACCTCAAGAGCAGGAGTGTGAGGCAGCACAGTGGCTTCTGACTCTCCTTGCAGGGCAAGTGCTAAAGGGATGTGCACTTCACTAATGTTTCTGCCTTGTCTAGCCTTCTGTTTGCATGGTTTGACTCTAGATTTCAGGTCCAGTGAGCTGCAGCGGCTCTTACAGGAAAATATGGCATTACTGTTCCAGCTCGGAGACCTTGGGTGCAAGCAGGTAAATTAACCAAAAAGGAGGAAAAAAATTGAGATTTTTTTAGTTGGAGCCTGTAGATCCCTTCATTTCCAGCTCCATGAGCTGCTCTCCAGCCTGTGCTAATAAGTGATGCGTAGTGATGGCTCTGACAAGCACCGGGCTGTTAGCATTGATGGAGAGTGCTCTGCATGTGAGAACCAGCAAACGAGGGTCAGGGTCTTGGTGTCCTGAGTGATGGTTGCCCTTTGTGCCTGTATTGTACATGAAGGTTTGAGTGTTTTGGGGTAACTTGTCCAGCAAGGGTGCTGTCCCTTGTCCTCTTTGCTATGCGGAGAGACCTTCCCTCTTCCTCCACATTGGTGCTGAGTGTGTGGACCAGGGCTTGCATGAGCCTAACCAGAGCTGTTAGCATCTGCAGCACGGACAGTGAGATTAACTTGGGTGTAGGCGAGGCTTGCAAGGCCCTTCCCGGAGGCAGTGGAGGAAGAGCCATGGTGAGGAGGAGGAGAGGCTCCCTGTAGTTTTCTATTAGCCATATCCAGCCCTTCTGCAGGCTATCTCTGTCTGTGTGCTCTGTTTGTTGCAGTTCTTTCTGCAAAGATAAGTGTGTAGCCATGGCTGGCTGAAACCTCCTGTACAGACACTGGCTGCTGTTTTCCCGGTAGGACCTTTATTTTGCCAGGCCCTGCAATGAGGGTCCCAGAGAGTGAAATTGTCATTAGTCTTTCTGAAGTTGCTGGGAATCTGGGGGAGCCAAATCTATCTTGCTCAGCCATTCTTTTCCTTGGTATCATCCCCTGTAAGGTTGTGGTAAAGAGCAGGCTACCGGTATTGGTTTTGTTTGTTCTTGCTTTGCATCACAGCTGGTGGCTTCTTTAGATCTTCATGTTATCTCAGTGTGTTTTCTGTTCCTGCATCCCTGATGTTTTTTTGGATGGGGTCTAGCCACTGGGATACATGACTCAAGTATAACATGGGTAGGTAATTTCTTTACCAGACCTGAACATGGGTATTTGGCAGAAGCTTCCAGAAAAAGGCTTGTTTCAGAACTGTTTTGGCTTTGCCACAAATGTTACCTACTTTGTCAGCAGCTCCTAAGCCCTTGTTCTTATGTTCTTCCATAACAGGAAATGTCATGGAAACTGTTTCTGCAGGCCCACCTACCTCCCTGGTTCATTCAGAAATTGCACTAACTTCTCACGTGATGGGAGTGAAAGTGGGGAAGTCCTGTTGTGAATCCTGAGGGGAATTTTTACAAACAACTTGAAAGATTTAACCTTTGGGGGCTGTATATTGGTTTGGGGCTTTTCAGTCAAGTTTGGTGCTGGTTTTGCACGCAGTTAACTTGGTGGCATGTGAAGAACGTTGCTCTTAGTAAGCAAGAGTCTCAAGGAAATCTCTTTGCCAGACATCTGCGTGGAGTGCACAAACTGCACTAACTGCTTTGCTTCAGCACGTGAGCGTGGTTTGAATGAAGTTTCTGTCAGTCTGGTGCTGGCAGGCTGTTTTTGTCTGTAAACAGTGCAGAAGTGGGAG